CACGAGTGTGCCGTGAGATGTTGCCTCGTGTGCCGCGAGATGCCTGGAGGGAGGCGGGCGAGTCGGGCGGCGAGAGGCGGGGCGGCGGCGGCGAGGAGAGGCCGTGCCTCCTGCTGCTGCCTGGCGCTCCTCCTCGCAGCCGGCAGCGCTGCCTGGGCGCCTCCGCGCGACTCTGCCTCGCTGGGTTTAGTCTCCCAGCAGAGACGGGTCACACGCGCCCCTCCCTCCCTCCCTCAGCCTGCGCGGAGGGAGAGCCAGAGAGAGGCATCGCTCCTGCGCGGCGGGAGAGGGAGCAGCCGGAGCGATGCCCCAAACGAACGCATGGGACCGGAGGGGAAATCCTCTCCGAGGCGGATTGGGACCACAGCGCCACCCACATTCCTAATGCAGCTGCAGGAAGAGCAAAGGGACATAAACTTCCAGCACTTGTTTTACGTATGAGTAACACACAATCTGTGCTCGATCAAATAAATCCTAGCATGAGAAAGGGCCATTAATTCCTCGGCTGGTATATTTGATCGGCGGTTCAAATCTGCACGACGGGGTGAGCTCCCGTTGCTTTGCCCCCATCTCCTACCAACCTAGCAGTTTGAAAGCACACCAGTGCAAGTGGATAAATAGGTACCACTATGGCGGGAAGATAAACAGCATTTCTGTGCGCTCTGGTTTCCATCACGGTGTCCCGTTGCGGCAGAAGAGGTTTAGTCCTGCTGGCCACATGACCCGGAAAGCTGTCTGTGGACAAACGCAAGCTTCCTCTGCCTGAAAGCGAGATGAGCGCTGCACCCCATAGTCGAATTCGACTGGACTTAACCGTCCAGGGGCCCTTAAACTTAATACGTGCTAGTTTTAGTTTTAGATCCAGAACAGTGAAGGTAATCTGAAATGATTACCTTTCGTTCATTTACGCATTGCGCAAAGATACGCTTGCTGTGTTTTGGTCCTGTGTCGTTTTATTATAAATAATAATATACGGTAAATAAATAATTTTTATTTATATCCCGCCCTCCCCAGCCGAAGCCAGGCTCAGGGCAGCTAACAACAATAAAATAATACAACATTCTAAAATCATTTCATTATAAAATTAATTCAAATCAAATTAATGGCAATCATTGGGCTAGAGTTCTGTGAAGATTGCCAAAGGAGGGAGTCAGGCTGTGCCCTGGCCAAAGAATAATTATCATTATTCTTTAAGAGGATTTCTTTACCATTGAATCATCAAAACCTCTAAGCCTGCCTTTTCTAACATTGGCTTCAGCCAGTGTGAGTTGTAGCCTAGCCGTTTCTGGAGGGCCTCAGATACTGGCGAAAGCTGCTCTAAGCCATCTACATAAAACATACATTTCCTGTGTGCCTTTCCCCTAAAGGCCAGAGTTTCCCCAATAGCAAATTGCTACAATTCCTTATACAATGGTACCTCGGGTTACAGACGCTTCAGGTTACAGACGTTTCAGGTTACAGACTCACCTAACCCAGAAATAGTGCTTCAGGTTAAGAACTTTGCTTCAGGATGAGAACAGAAATCGTGCTCCAGCGGCATGGCATCAGCAAGGAGGCCCCATTAGCTAAAGTGGTGCTTCAGGTTAAGAACAGTTTCAGGTTAAGAACGGACCTCCGGAACGAATTAAGTACTTAACCCGAGGTACCACTGTACCACAGACTCAACAAGTTTCATCCACCTATTCTGAATCTTCCGACACTGAGCTGTGTTGGAGGTCCATGAATTCCGGCATTAAGAGAGAGGGAGGAAAACATTCAGCAAGCATTCCTCCATCCCCAGCAACACCTTGAATTTGGCAGGTAACAAACACCCTGGCTCCCAGCGCAGATTGCTGAGCGGGGATGTAAAAGGTCAGCAAGGTCATAATAAATTGGTTTTTTTCCAAAGGGGTGGGAGGAAGGACCTGCGGAAAAAGATGCGCACCCACCCAAAAAGGGAGGTACCCCAGCTGGGCTGGCAAGCCTTTCACTGTCGACGCATCCCTGCCTTTCCTTTGCAAGATGTGTCTTTCCTTAAAAAAAACAACAACAACCCCACAACTCTTCTTACATAAACTTGGAGAGTTACATCCCAGAGGTATTTTGGCCCCGTTCCATTGACATTACGCCATTCGTTCTACTTCTAAAGTTCAGGGTGCGAGTGCCGGTGCTTATGTAATCCAGCTTGGCACCCCACGTGCTCTCGAGGGAAGTTATCGTCAGGCTTGGGGGAAGCCCAGTGTTTGGAGAAGTACAAATCTACCAGAATGCCAAAAACAGACCCGTGGGAAATCCAAACTACTCCTCCTCTTCTTCTTCTTCTGAGTTTTGCACAGACGGAATATAGGGAGTACAGTCATACCTCGGGTTACAGCCGCTTCAGGTTGTGTTTTTTCGGGTTACGGACCACCAAAACCCGGAAGTACCGGAACGGGTTACTTCAGGGTTTCGGCGGCCGTGCATGCGCAGAAGCGCCGAATCATGCTTTGCGCATGCACAGAAGTGCCAAATTGCAACCCACGCGTGCGCAGACGTGCATCCCACATGGATCATGTTCGCAACCCAAGCGTCCACTGTATTACTTTGAAAGGAAGTCTTTCCTTCTGTTTTGCAGAAGAAAGGGGTTCCCTGCCCTCTGGTCTCTCTGCTATTCCATCCCTGCCCCCCCCCAATTCCTGGTACCAAGCGGTCTGTATATCTTAGTCATTTTCAGAGATTATGCTCGAGGTGCCCCCTCAAAGTGGGTGGGTGGCAACGAGAGAAGACGGGGCCTCCTCAGTTATGGCTCCAAGCCTCAGGAATTCCTTCCCCAGGGTGCACAGCCGGACACCAGCATTGTTATCCTTCCAATACCAGGCAGGGATCCTTCTTTGGAGAATTGAGACGTGGCAGAGGCTGTGACAACTTTAAGAAATACGGTTTATTCACCATGGAGCGAGTTCAGATTTTACAGCACAGTCCACTCAAGAGGGGCTTGTCCCCCACAGCAGTGTAGCCCTGGAGTCCAAGGCATCTCTCCCAGTGGAAACGGCGTTTACCTTCCCGCCACAGTGGTACCTATTTATCTACTTGTACCGGCATGCTTTCGAACTGCTAGGTTGGCAGGAGCTGGGACCAAGCAACGGGAGCTCACCCCGTCGCAGGGATTCGAACCGCTGACCTTCCGATCGGCAAGACAAACAGTGGTTTGAACCACAGCGCCACCCGCGTCCCTGTCTTTGTGTGTTAGCTGCCTTGAAAAGTGGTTTTTATGGGAGAACGCAAAGGCTTTTGCCTCCTTACCTGTGGGTTCTTTTTAGCCATGAGCTTAGGATGAAAATGGTATATATCTGGGGTGGCTAGTACCTATAGCCCTCTAAACATGGTGGAGACTGTCGTAGCTTTAAGAAATACAGTTTATTCACCTATCTACACCTTCAGTCTGCATGCAGGGAGTCCAGATCTTACAACATGTTCATTTCAAGAGGGGCTTGTCCCCCACAGCAGTCCAGGACATCTCTCCCAGCCAGCCTTCAGCCAGCCTGCCCAAGATGGATCCCCATTTTTCTTCTCTCCCTTTCTTCTTCCTAGCACACCTTGCTAAAGACTCTCTTTTCCTGTCACCTCACACCCGGTTACCCCGGCAACCTTCCAACCCTCCAGTGTCTGTTCACATCTCACGGCCAACGGGGGAAGGACCGTTTTCTTTCATTGCCAAGGGCCCTCAATGGCCCTGAATTGTTCCTTAATGGCCCTAACTTGGCCAAGTCATTTTGCTTTGGCTGGCCCAGGAATTCCTCTGCCAGTAGAAAAAAGACAAGTCACAGAACCGAGAAAATACACAAAACAAATGAAATACAGTCATACCTTGGGTTGAATGTGCTTCGGGTTGAGTGCGTTCGAGTTGCGCTCCGCAGCAACCCAGAAGTAATGGATCGCGTTACTTCCGGGTTTCGCCGCTCACGCATGCGCAGACACTCAAAAGGACGTCATGCGCGGAAGCGGCAAAATGTGCCCCGCGTATGCATGCCATCGCGGCTTATGTTGTGTTCAGGATGTGAACAGGGCTCCAGAACGGATCCTGTTCATATCCCGAGGTACCACTGTACTGTGAAAATCCCTGAAACGAGAAGTAATCGACTAGAAATATTATCTTATGGAAATAAACTAAATAAAAAACAAAAAGTTTAAGAGAAAGCTTAGAAAAACCTAGAACTGAACAAAGCCTTAATGGGATGCCGGCTACAAACCTCGTTTCACTGAACTATTCCGTTTCCTCAGAAGGAAATAGAGATAGTATAGTATAGTATAGTATAGTATAGTATAGTATAGTATAGTATAGTATAGTATAGAATAGAAATAGAGAAAGTATTAAAGTCCTAGCTCGGCCTAGGTGAAGCAAAGCGCAGTACAGTGGTACCTCGGGTTAAGTACTTAATTCGTTCTTAACCTGAAACTGTTCTTAACCTGAAGCACCACTTTAGCTAATGGGGCCTCCTGCTGCCGCCGCGCCGCCGGAGCACGATTTCTGTTCTCATCCTGAAGCAAAGTTCTTAACCTGAAGCACTATTTCCGGGTTAGCGGAGTCTGTAACCTGAAGCGTATGTAACCTGTAATAAAGGATTAAGGACTCAAAGGTACAGTTTCTAAAACTGAGTTTACAAAAAAGGTTTGAAAACCTAAACGGCAAGTTTTAGACACAGCCCAACTTGAAGAAAGCCAAGCACAGTAATAAAGAGTTGAGGACTCAGCTGTGGAAATTTTTGTATTGCCTTTACAAAAAGGGTTTCAAAAACCTAAATGGCACAAATTCAAAGAAAGGAATGCAAGATAAGCTATCTTAGATTTTAAGCAAACTAAGGAAAAGGGCTGAAACGCTCCCCTGAGTTTACAAAAAACGAATTCCTCTACAGCTTGTATTTCTCCCTCCACATCCCAGATAATCCACATCCTGCCATTTATTAATTTCTAGGGATTAGGGGTGTCCTGTCCCCCCACCTAAATCTATTAACAACCCGCTCTTCTTGTGCCCTTGCCTTTAGCCCCAGTTAACTGCAGTGAGCCCCCTCAAGTACAAAATGCAGAGGTTTCTAAAGGGAGCGGCGACGGCAACAAACTGCGGTACTCGTGCGTCAAGAATTACAAGAGGAAAGCGGGAACGTCCAGCCTGGCCGTGTGCAGGGAGAACGACACAACGAAAGAGTTTCAATGGGAGGTGCGCCTGAGCTGCATCCGTAAGTAGTACCTGGGTTCTGTTTGATGGGGCTAATAATAATAATAATAATAATAATAATAATAATAATTTATTTATACCCCGCCCATCTGGCTGGGTTTCCCCAGCCAACTCTGGGCGGCTTCCAACAAAACACTAAAATACAATGACCTATTAAACATTAAAAGCTTCCCTAAGCAGGGCTGCCTTAAGATGTCTTCTAAAAGTCTGGTAGTTATTTTTCTCTTTGACATCTGGTGGGAGGGCGTTCCACAGGGCGGGTGCCACCACCGAGCAGGCCCTCTGCCTGGTTCCCTGTAACCTCACTTCTCGCAGGGAGGGAACCGCCAGAAGGCCCTCAGTGCTGGACCTCCGTGTCCGGGCAGAACGATGGGGGTGGAGACGCTCCTTCACGTCTACTGGGCTTTAAAGGTCAGCGCCAACACTTTGAATTGTGCCCGGAAACGTACTGGGAGCTAATGTAGGTCTTTCAAGACTGGTATGTGGTCTCGGCGGCCGCTCCCAGCCACCAGTCCAGCTGCCGCATTCTGGATTAGTTGTAGTTTCCGGGTCACCTTCAAAGGTAGCCCCACGTAGAGCGCATTGGAGTAGTCCAAGTGAGAGATGACCAGAGCATGCATCACTCTGGCGAGACGGTCTGCGGGCAGGGAGGGTCTCTGGCTGCATACCAGATGGAGCTGGTAAACAGCTGCCCTGGACACAGAATTGACCTGTGCCTCCATGGTGAGTTCAGGGCTCACCTAGGCTCACCTTCTCACCTGTGAACCTGTTCCTGTATTAAGATCCACAAAGCCCTCCCCCTCCGTCGGTCTCTCAAAGTCATGGCTGACCGCAGCCGCGTCCAGGTAGAGATGTCCCAGAATTCCGTCAGAATGGGTAGCAATTCTGGAAATGGCAGCAGTCCGCGTCTTGGTGGATTTGATTTAAATCAAATCAATTTAAATCACTAGTCAGCAAGACTTGATTTAAATTTTATTTATTTATTTTTACAGAAAGGCTCATTCTTGGTTAGTATAATCTTAACATTTACAACCAGATGAAGGTTTCTTTTTGGAAGGATAAATTTTCTGAGCAGTTTTTTACAGTTCTATCAAAAATTACTGATTTGGTTATGCTATCAGAAATACATAGACACATAATTATGAAATTATGGTGAGGTTTAATAAGTTAACTGTTTCTGTTTGGACAACCTTTCTGCTGTACTTTATTGGAAGGAGAAAAATAGCCATTTCCTTAATAACAATTTATTTAACTAAAACAATAACATTATAGCATATGTATGCACGTTTGTTAACTAATGTGGTTAAACTTTTTTGTTTTGTTTTGTTTTTAAACCCTTAAACTGAGTTTTGGCACACAAGAAAAACTTAAAACCAATCCTTATGAATGATGAATAGCCTTTAGACTATAATGTAACCTAAATAGAAAACTATCTTTAGAAAAAATTCTGATTTGGTTAGAAATACAAAGACAGGTAATTATGAAATTGTTGTTTATATTTGGGCAACATTTCTGCTGTACTGTATTGGAAGGAGAAAAATAATCATTTCCTTAATAACAATTAAAAAAAATTATTTAACTAAAGCAATAACATTATAGCATATGTATCCATGTTTGTTAACTGATGTAGTTAAATGGTTTAAAAAACAAAGAACAAAACTTAGACTGAGTTTTAGCACACATGAAAAACTCAAATCCTTATTTCTTGATGAATAGCCTTTGGACTATAATGTAACTTGAATAGAAAACTATCTTTAGAAATATTTTTCCTCCAAAGGCATTTTATTTTAAAAATCTGATTTTATTTTATTTTTTAAATCCAATTTAAATAAAAAAAATCCGATTTAAATAAAAAGTATCCTTTAAAAAAAATAATCATTGATTTTTATCCACCCTGGTCCGTGTGTCCATCTGCAAGCAGGAACAAAAATCAAGGAAGTGATCAACATTTGCTGACCTCATTTCCTGCCCCTCCCCTAACCCAAACTCACTGCAATTGATTTTTCAGCCTGCAAAACAATACATTATTGCTTCCCTCCCCTTGGAAATAAACGTAACGATAGTTAATTATATTATTAAACGTGACCACAGGAAACACCAACTTTTTTTGCGGAACCCGAACTGCAGCGGAATAGAAGCGGCGCTGCGTGTGGAAGATATAGAGCAGGCCAAAAAATGATGCCTTTTCACATCCTGATTTCTTTGAATGGAGGTCACACCACATGATATCTCATCAAGAATCTGGCACCCACACTTCCCATGCATGGTTTTATATCCCTTAGCAAAAGGTGTTGCGTAAGCAGGGACTTGATGAAGTCAAAAAGAGAGAGGCCTAAATTGCAATTCCCACATAGGAATTTTCTATGATAGTGTGAAGACACCTTAGAAGTTGTTTGGGTGTTTTTATTTTACAATCGAGTGGTATATAAATTTTACGGTTAAATAAAATAAGACCAGCAAAACAGCAATATAAAAGCATGTAAAACTGTTAGAATTCCAGCTCCATGATTGCAGTCATGGGATTTTTGTCTATCACATGACGTCGTATGTTTTGACTCCACAGAGTGGGAAGTGACGGAGACAGGATGTTTGTGTTACTGTGTTCCATGAAGTGGGACTATTGTCCTTTGTTCATTCTCTTTGCTGTCTGATGCTAGAGAGAGAGGGAGCCATGTTGCAGTGCTCAACGTGTGTTTATATGTAAATAAAGTAGATTAGCCAAAATGCTGAGTTGCTGAGGTCTGTCACGCAAGCTGCGCAAACTCTGCGGATCCCTAAGCGTGCCAGTGTTGGTTGGCATCGGTTGCTGTGATGTTCGGGCAGAAGAAAGCTTTTGAAGCTCCCGAACGATCGACCAGGAGGGAGAGAACATGCCAGTCGGGCATGTGTCTCTGCCAGGGTCCTACTCGAGTGTAGGCTGAACTCCTGACAATGGTTATAAAGCAGAAATTCAGGACGTTCATACAGATGAAAACGGGATCTGATCTTATGGGTCATTATTTAGGTTTATAGTTGAGCCGGTGAAATTTCTCACTGAAACTTCAAGGAGAATAGGTTCTGCACTGCTGTAAATGCAATCCTGATGACAAGCTAATTTTGGCTTCTCCTCTTCTCAATTCCTCTTCTCTTTCTCAACAAGGAGATCCTTCCCTTCCTGCCACCACAACAGAAGATCCCAGAAGAGGTAGGACCAATTGCTTTGTTGTCTCTGCTCGTCACCACTGGGTGACAAACGTGTTTTTGGAGTAACACCAGTGTGGTATAGTGGTTAAGAGCGGTAGTCTCGTAATCTGGTGAACCGGGTTCGCTTCCCCGCTCCTCCACATGCAGCTGCTGGGTGACCTTGGGCTAGTCACACTTCTCTGAAGTCTCTCAGCCCCACTCACCTCACAGAGTGTTTGTTGTGGGGGAGGAAGGGAAAGGAGAATGTTAGACGCTTTGAGACTCCCTAGGGTAGTGATAAAGCGGGATATCAAATCCAAACTTCTCTTCTTCTTCTTCTTCTTCTTCTTCTTCTTCTTCTTCTTCTTCAAACAGATTTCAGGCCTGGGACACAAATTAGGCAAGTGCCCTCTCCCCACGAAAATAAAATTAAGAAAATAAAAATGCTGACTTAATTCACAAGTAGCGGAAATGGGAAAGTAGGTATTTAGGAACAAACGGCGACCCACAGACCAGCCGTTTGCTCCGAGTAAGCACTAAAAAGTGGTTCTCCCCAGGGGGAAGCAGTGGGGCGAGAGGAATTGTGGAGAAGCGCTCGTGTTAACACAGCTTCATGGCCTGTCCCAGAAACATACATATGAAACTTTACTTACCCCATGTTGTAGAGGCAGAGACTTCCACCACAGAGACTCCGCAGGCTGCTGGTGTTAACACTTCAGTGGCCTCCGCCGCAGCCCCATATGGCAGCGAGACCCCCTCGCCATCAGCCTCGATCACCGCACTGCTCAGGACTGCTAAACCAACTAGGCCTGGCAGGGCAACGGAAACCACCAGCGCCCCAGAGGTTGGCAGACAGACTCCTGGCACGGTCAGCGAAAGCTCGGCGAAATGCGAAAGCTCCACCGCGAAAGCCTCGCAGCCCGCGACTAGCAAGCGCCTCACGGCAGGAGACAGGAGGACAGCTGTGCCCCCCGGGAGAGTCTCAGGGGTCACCCCAGAGCCAAGCGTCCCGGTGCCTCCGATCGAGAGACAAACAGGTTTGTCACTGGCAGCTGAAGTAGTTCACCTCATTGTTGCAGCCTCTGCATTAACCATCCTTTCCACGTCCTCCTTCATTTCATGTTCTTCCCAAGTTAATATACTAATATTCTTGCGTTTATCCCATATCTATGTCTGCTATCTGTCTCCTGGACTCTTCGGGTGCATCCAGACTTACAGTGGTACCTTGGTTCTCAAACTTAACCCGTTCCAGAATTCCGTTCCAAAACCAAAGCGTTCCAAAACCAAGGCGCGTGTTCCCATAGAAAGTACAGTGGTACCTTTGGATGAGAAGGGGATCCATTCCGGAGCCCCGTTTGCATCCTGAAGCTAACACAACCTGCGTCTTCACGAGTGGTGATTCACCGCTTCCGCGCATGCGCGTGACGTCCTTTTGAGTGTCTGCGCATGCACGAGTGGCAAAACCTGGAAGTAACACGTTCCATTACTTCCGGGTCGCCGAAGGTACTGGAACCCAAGATATGACTGTAATGCAAAATGGATTAATCCGTTCCAGACTTTTTAAAAACAACCCCTGAAACTTCAATTTAACATTTTCGCAGTCACACAATCAATCAATCAATCAATCAGTCGGAAGCTGAACTGGTTTCCACACAGTCACAAAAACAAACGAACCAAGAAAGCCTCAAAAACAAAAACGCAAAATAAATAGCAAAAACAAATGCGCCAAACTTAATCCGTTCTGGAAGTCCGTTTGACTTCCGAAATGTTCGGAAACCAAGGCACAGCTTCTGATTGGTGCAGGCGCCCCAGAAACAATAGCCAACAGCCGCATCGGACGTTCGGTTTCCGAAAAATGTTCAAAACCTGGAACACTTACTTCCGGGTTTTCGGCGTTTGGGAACCAAGGCGTTTGGGAAGCAAGGTACCACTGTATTGCTAGTTGGCAAATTCGGCTGACATGATTTTGGTCGATTGGGAGACCTTGTGCAACAAATGCGTTGTTTTTGTTGTTTAGTCGTT